CTCTCGAATTTAGATAGGAGAGTGTGCGCGAGAGCTTAATATTTCGCCAGGGTGTCTTCTTTGGCCTCGTAAACTCCGAGTACTTGGTTAACGACGAGCTGAGAGTCGCTTTGGATTAGGAGCTTGCGGGCTCCAGCTGCTAGGGCGAGGCGGATTCCCGCTATCAGGGCTTCGTACTCAGCGACGTTGTTTGAGGCAGTGAATTCGAATCGTTGAGCATATTCGAACTCATCTCCATCAGGGTTCGTTAGGACGATACCCGCTCCCCCTCCTGTGGCGGTGGAAGATCCATCGACATTGACAGACCAAGTAGGTAGAGAAGTGCTCTCTTCTACTGAAGTCATTTCGACTAGAAAATCCGCCAATACTTGCGCTTTGATAGTAGGGCGGGGTTTGAATTCGACCCCATATTCGCTCAGCTCTATCGCCCACTTTGCTAATCGCCCGGATGTCTCAGGACTCCTTAGTATTTGCTTCAGAGGATAATTGGTGAGAACCACCACTTGATGTGACAGGAAGTAAGGTCGAAGCTTCCGAGCTGCGTTGATGAGGGCGAGAGCGAGTTTCTCCATGTTGGTGTAGCGTTGTTCGGCTCATTGGAGGGCGCGACTTATGTAGTATATGGGTTGGTGGCCTTTTCCTCCATCTCGGATGAGGACTGCGCTAATAGCATCAGCCGAGGTAGCTAAGTAAAGCATGAGGATGTCTCCCGGTTGAGGTTTTGTAAGCAGGGGTGGTGATGCGAGATATGACTTTAACTCCGTGAAGGCCTTTTGACATGCCTCATCCCATTCGAACTTTTTTCCTCCCCTTAAAATCTTGAAAAAGGGGAGAGCCTTGTCCGCTGATCTTGAAATGAATCTGTTCAGGGATGCCAAACAGCCGTTGAGCTGTTGAACTTTCTTGATCGAGGTTGGTGGAGCCATGGAGGTGATTGCTTCGATTTTTGCGGGATTAGCTTCGATTCCCCGCTGCGAAATCATATAACCCAAAAATTTGCCTCCCCGAACTCCGAATAAACATTTGAGGGGGTTGAGCTTCATCTTATATTTTCGCAAGGTGGCGAAACACTGATCCAGATCAGTTAGGTGGTCCGAGACCTTGACGCTTTTGACGAGCATGTCGTCGATGTACACCTCCATATTTTTACCAATCTGATCTGCGAACATTTTGTTCACTAGACGCTGGTAGGTGGCTCCCGCGTTTTTTAATCCGAAGGGCATGACTTGATAGCAGTAGATGCCTTGATCAGGGATGAAACTAGCCCTCTCTTGATCTTCTGGCGCAAGTAAGATCTGGATGTACCCTTGGTATGCATCGAGGAAGCTGAGGAGCTCGCATCCCGAGGTCGAATCGATGAGTTGATCGATTCTAGGTAGAGGAAAAGGGTCCTTAGGACAAGCTTTGTTGAGGTCGGTGAAGTCTACACATAGTCTCCACTTGCCACCTGGCTTAGGAACGAGTACCACGTTTGACAACCATTCGGGATACTGAACTGGTCGTATGTGGCATGCTTCAAGGAGTTTTGCCACTTCCGCTTTGATATGCTTGTTGCGTTCGGGACCGAATGTCCGTTTTCTTTGTTTGACGGGCTTCAATCGTTTGTCGACGTTGAGCCGGTGCAGAGCTACCTGAGGAGGGATGCCCGATAAATCTTGGGCTTTCCATGCGAACACATCTCCATTGTGTCGTAGGAAGTTGATTAGCTGCTGCTCCGTTGTTGGATCTAAATCAGATCCTATTCGTATGAGCTTGGAGGTATCTTCGGGAGTGAGCTCTATGAGCTTAAGCTCTTCGACAGCGGCTAGCTTGATGGTGTCATCTGGCACACTGATGAGGATTTCTTTATTATCTTCAATGATCGCGTTGACCCACTTCCGTTTGTCGGATTTTTGAGTGTCGTCTCCTCTTCCGGGTGGTTTAAGCTTCTTGGAAGGTTCTCGTAGGGCCCTTGCATAGCATTCTCGGGCGAGACGTCTATCTCCAATTACTTTCCCCATTCCGTAGGGAGTGGGGAATTTCCACTTCTGATGGTAGGAGGAAGGTACTGATTTGAAGGTATGGATTGCTGGCCTCCCTAGGATGATGTTGTAGGGGGATGGCTTGTCGACGACAAGGAATTTGATTAGTTTGGTGATTCGACAAGGGTCTTCCCCTAAAGAGACGGGCAGCTCTACTTCTCCCATGGACAAAATGCCTTCTCCCGTGAATCCTTTCAGGGGTGTGGAGATGGGATTAAACCGGGCATTATCTATGCCCAGCTGCTTAAACGTGTGGAGGTACATTATGTCAGCTGAGCTTCCACCGTCCACTAATATCTTCTTGACCAAGAAGTTGGCCACCGTTGTTGTTACTACCAGCGCATCGACATGATCTTCATCTGGACCTTCAAGGTCGGAGGAGTTGAAGACTATGCTATGGTCAGGTCTTCGTATTTGATAAATGCGTGCGGATGGAGAAGCATGTTCTTGATTCATGCGTGCTGATCGAGCGAGGGTGCGTCTGGCATTTTGTGAATCGCCACCCGCTGGTCCTCCGGAGATAAAGGAGATGATTCCCCGGGTAGGTTGGTTATCGTTGTTATCTGGGTCACGTCGATGACCTCCATCCTCTCGCCTTTGCTGTTGATCTCGATTGTTATCTCGACGTCGAGGATCATCACGGCGCTTATTTCGCGGCTTATCAATGTATTCGCCTAAATGGCCCTGTTTGATCAGCCTTTCAATCGCCACCTTGAGTTGTGCACATTCCTCCGTAGTATGTCCTCTGTCCTTATGGAATCGACAATAACGATCCGACTTTTCTCGCTTGGCATTTGGTTGCATAGGACGTGGAGGCTCTGCTAAACCTTTCTGTTCTATCACGTGAAGGATTTCAGTGAGGCGAGCGTTTAGCGGAGTGAACTTGATATAGGAGGAGGAGGGTTGGCCTTGAGGTGGAAGTGGTGGGCGTCGGTCATCGCGCCTCCTATTGTCCTGACGGTCATCTTCCCTTTTCCTTTTAGGAGGAGCATGGGTAGAGGCTTCCTCTATCCGGACGTACTTTTCGGCTCGATTCAGCAACTCCTCTAGGTTGCCTGGGGGTCTTCCGGCGATAGATTCCTTGAATCTACCCGGTTTCAAGTTCTGCTGCATAATCCCGGAGAGCATGTCTTGCCCCACACTGGGAACTTTAGGACGGCTTCTACGAAACGCTTGATGTAGTTGCGGAGCGTTTCGTTGTCTCTCTGTACTACTGAGAAAAGATGAGCGGGGGTCTTGGCATATTGTTTGTTGATAGCGAATTGGTTGGTGAACCGGGTTGACAGCCGAGCGAAGGTGTCAATCGAACCTATGGGTAGAGAGTTGAACCAATTCATTGCCCTCTTGGAGAGAGTGGTACGGAACATTTTGCACATCGCAGCATCCGTCGGGCCATATAAATCCGCCATGGCACTGAATTTCTCTATATGTTCCTGTGGGTCGGTGGTTCCTTCAAATTGAGGTAACCCCGAGATTTTTACTCCTTGAGGTAATACCTCGTTGAGAATATCTATGGTGAAGGGACTGCATCTTGTTGGGAGAGGCATTCTCTCACCCATTTGATTATTTGGTTGGGAGAAAAGGTTTTGGCGAGACATTCGGCTGTTTACCTCGCCTTCTCCCTCATTAAAGAGAGGGACTCTTGGTGGTGACGCGTTCCCCCGTAGGGGTGAGCGCCGACGTTGTTGTCTGGGCTGTGCTCCTCTGTGATTAGTAGATAGCTGCACTCGGGACCGTGGGTCCGGCGTAGAGGAGGAGACACTTATTTAATTCTGGATTGGCGTTGGGGCCACAGGTGGCACTATAGGTGGAGCTTGCGCTGGTATCGCATTGGGAGCGTTTGCTCCCATCGTGGCGATATATTGAGTTACGGCCTCCGTGGCGGCGCGAGTTGAGGCTTCTGCTATCATGCGTTGGAGCGCGTCCTCGGTTATTTGAACCGTTCGAGGAGCGGGGAGTGGTGGATCGGCGAGTGGTGGGTCCCGAGGAGGGATCACCTGAACCTCACGAGGTGGATCTGCAGCACGTGTAGGAGCTGGCTCCGTGGCACGTGGAGGAAGTTGCTCCGCGGCGCGTGGAGGAGGTGGCATGCCAGATCCTCCACGGGCTGGGAGGTTATTTGCTGTGTCATTTTCTCTCCGAGCTGATGCCTCAGGAGGATCTTGTTGGCTACGTGATCTGGTTTGCATCGTTCCCACAGACGGCGCCAAAATGATGATGCTAAAGAGTAGCTCACCTAGGGTGGTGTAGAAAATGAGCTGGGAGAGCAAAACGGATCAGTAGCTTGATAACTTGATGATCCTGAGGTCCCTACGAAAAGAGCACACGTGAACTAAGCCGGGGGTTGATCCGGCGGAAACCCCTCCGACGCTCAAGTCAGATGTACGGATCGTAGAGATAGCTGAGAGAATAATATTCGAGATTGATTGTGAATAATGAGAACGTACCTTTACAAATGAGTAAAACACCTATTTATATATCGGTGATTGGGTTGGGCTTACTTATATCTTACATATATATATATATATATATATATATATATATATATATATATATATATATATATATATATATATATATATATATATATATATATATATATATATATATATATATATATATATATATATATATATATATATATATATATATATATATATATATATATTGTAAAGAATTAAATGTCTTATAAGAAAATGTAAGATATAATACCTAATCATTGCTTGTGCTTGTGCATCTATATTTGGCTCGAGTCTCTTAATTACAACTTTCAAACCTTGTCGATCCTCATCGATATTAACGCAAGTGCTAGAATATTGAAGCATTTGGTTCAAAAAATATGTTGAAATATGTATATTAAAAAATTAATAAACATAAATGAATTGAACCAAATGGCAAGTATTTAAAATAAAACTTTAGATTACCTGCACCATGCAAATCTTGATCTAACATTTTGTACCACCTCTCGTCTATCACAACTCAATAAGTTTGCCAATCTTTAACTGTCTCTTTGATTGCCATTTTCGCCCTATCCATAGCTTCATAAGCAATTGGTAATGTGGCCTTTTTATCTTGATCTACCAGTTTTAGAACCTTCCCAAGTGGTTCCATTAATGAACAAACTTCTGGGGCTCTGCTCCAAAATTTGTTATTCAATATGATACTTGATATATTTTCAGCTTCACTCTGTCGTTTTCTAGTGTTGTTATAAGCTTCTCACTCAGGATTCGTACACATTCTCTTCAACTCCATAGAATGTCGAACAAGACTTTCAATAGCAATAAACACTGTTGCAAATCTTGTAATTCCTGGCCTTAACAACTCTCGATCTTTTGTGTACGACTTCATAAGATTCACTATTTTACCACTGTTGTAAATAAAACTTGTAATTTTTTGTGCCTTTTCTATGCATTTTTTTTATTTTGGACATCTTACCGACATCTTCTAACATGTGATCGATGCAATGTGCAGCGCAAGGATACCAAAATATATGTGGTCTTTCCAGCATCAACCTTTTTCCCAGCAGCTTTGTTCGAAGCTTCACTGTCTGTAACAACTTGTACAACATTCTGCTCTCCTATCTCATCAATGACTTTATTTATAAGAGAAAAAATAAAACATGAGTATGATATATCATTGATCGATCACAATATATCATAAAATTGATAATATGATGCTTATTTTTTGTACTCCACCCATCACACATGATTGTACAACCATATTCTGGCTATTTTGCATTCAAAGTGGATATATAACCGTCAATTTTAAAAAACTTCTTCATCTAGATTAGTACTACCGATTTGACGGCCAGAAGGACCCATAATTCCAGTCCCCACCTCAGCAATAGTATTTATCATAGATTGATAATAAGGCCCACTATCAGCATCATTAAATGGAATAGTATTAAATAAAAACAACTTTGAAATGGCCTTACCAACTTCTTTGATTTTTTTAAGAGCGAAAAATTGTTTGAGACTTTTTTGTTTTGACGGGAACATGAAAGGATCTACCCCACTTGAAGACTTCTTAGGTCCTTCTCTTACGCTGGAGCTACGAAATATTCCTCGTTTCGTACCAGATGTTTGACCTCGAGAAGTACCACCAGTATGCCCTAGAATTAAATAATACTAATTAATTGACATGTTTTACAAGTATAACAATATACTAGAATATAAAAGTTCATATACCGTCATCATATCGCATACGCTCATCTTCGTCGAAAGCTTGCTTTCGACTTTCTCTCATTGCATTCCGTAATTGTTTCTTCTCCATTTGTGATAGATATTCTTTATTTGCGTATCGGGAAACTTGTTCATCATCATTTTCGCTGCTACTATCAGTATCAATGTCATGAATGTGCCTACTTTCTTCTCTAATGGACATTATAGCCGTTTCTTTTCTTTTTTTCATTATTTCTCTGGCAGTTTTTCTTGAAGCTATTTTCGCAAAATTACCAAAATTTCTTTCGGAGCCTTTTTTACATGCAACTATTTCTCCAGATATATGAGTGATACGTTGTTTTAATTTGGTTATTCTTCCTGTAGTAACTACTTGACAGAATTTACCTTTGATTTTCTTTCGATTGTCACTAACCATATCGCCGAAATCCAAACCCTTATCAGATTTTGGACCCATTCTACATGATTGTGGAAAAAAAAATGAGTGCAATTAGAACCGAATATTAATTGATTATAAGTAATATATAAAATTATTCTTTCTTCATACTATCTATATTCTATATTAAATTATAAATTACGAAAACTATATGACTATATAAATATTAAAGGGTAAATTACACCCACACCCTTGAGGTACGCTTAAATAACTGTAAGGTCCATGTGGTATGGATGATTACACTCACCCCCCTGAAAGGTAGTTAAAAACTCTAACGAGATAATGCATTGGAGACATTATTCCGAGAGGGTTCTAACGAACTATTACTTTTAGCTAGTTGTGGAGATAACATAGAGTTATGGGGTGACATGGGGCATGTTTGTTTCTATTTCCAAATTGACTTTTCAGTTTTATACTATACATAAAACCGGGATGATGTTTGTTTGAGACTTTTCACTTGAAAATTCCTATTTTTCTTAAAACAATTTCCAATAGAAATACACTATTCATACTTTTCCCACTTTTCAAACCTATAATAATACCTACTAACATATTTCTCTCTCCTCGACTTTTTTCCCATCTCATCAATAATAATAATAATAATATGAATATTATTAGTATTAGTATTAATAATAATAATAATAATAATAATAATAATAATAATAATAAGGGTAAATTACAAACACCCCCCTGAGGTATGGTTAAATTACAAAAACCCCTCTCTTGTTTGGATAATTACATCTACCCCCCTCAACTATGATTTTTTCTTACCTCTATGTTGCCATATTCAACATAGTCATCTAGATTCCGTGAAATGTGCTTTAGTTTGTACTCTTTGTGTAAAAAATACAGTTTTCGATGCACCACAAACTGATATATACAAGCTAAAAATCACATATTATGGTCATCTTGCTTCATAATGTAGAGTTTGAATGGGATAAAACGGGTACAAAAGTGATAATATTCCATATAATCTCGAAGATTCCACTAAATTTGATGAGTTGAGGGGGTGGTTGTAATTATCCAAACAAGAGGGGTGTTTTTGTAATTTGGTCATACCTCAGGGGGGTGTTTGTAATTTACCCTAATAATAATAATAATAATTATAATAATAATAATAATAATAATAATAATAATAATAATAATAATAATAATAATAATAATAATAATAATAATTATTATTATTATTATTATTATTATTATTATTATTATATTATACTTTTGCACGTACTTTCGTAGAGAAAACACACCATAACCAAACATATTCTCATTTCTATACCTATACAAAACTAAAAACACTTTTTCATCCAAACATATTCCCATTTTCCACACAAAAACCAATAAACTACTTTTTCCATCAGAAATTTTGAAAACTAGAAAATCCCATTGGAAACATAACCAAACATCCCCATGGCTTCCCCAATATTTCTTAAATCACCCATAACTCTTTGTTGTCTTCATCACTTCCTGAAGCCAATAGTCCGTTAGAACTCTATCGTAATAACGTATCAAATGAATTATGCCATTAGGGTTTATAACTACGTTTCAAGGGGGTGAGTGTAATTATCGATACCACAGGGACCTTAAAGTTATTTAAGTATACCTCAGGGGTGTGGGTGTAATTTACCCAAATATTAAATTATAAACTACAATATTTTAGCAACATATAGAATTATAAATTAAAAAATTACAAACATATCAAATTGTACCTTTTACGGAGAAAAGAGTTGATAATTGAACACTTCAATTTTTTTCTTAATGACTTTGTTTATATTTTTCTCTTTTACTCTCTGCTTCTCCAGTGCCTCTGCAATGCCTCTCTGTTTATATTATGTATTGATGATAAAAGCTGATATCAATCCATGATATGTATTATTATTAGTTATATTATTTAGTGGAATTGTGGCTTGTGGGAGACATGGATGTGAAAGGCTAGCTTATAGGAGTGCATGTGATGATGTGAACCTCTGCAATCTGCATGAATTTTTTGATGATGTATTATTGATTGTTTATTTGAAAAAAAAAATTGAGGAAAAGAGGAGTGGTGGGAATTTATTGTCATTGCTTTAGTAAGTTGAGCAGCGGAAATCTGCTCCCAATAGTAAAATCAAATTCATCATAATACAAAATATTAGAATCCAAGAAATATTTCACAAGTCACAAGCCAAATAGTAAAAACAATAATATTAGAAAAGTCACCAGCCAAACAAAAAAAATTTGAGAGAAAAGGTAATTATGTTTTTATTCCTTATTTTTTTAGTCAAATTAGTCATTTTTTTCGTTATTTTTTAGTTAAATTATGTTTATTTTCAAATTATTTTCTACCGTTCCGGCCGTGTTGGGGCCGTTCTGTGGCTCCATCTCGCCCATCCCACCGATTTCTCGGCATTCCGATGAGCCCTGGTGAAAACAACGGAGGGTTTGTGTGGAACGCCTGTACCAAGTATTCGTTTTGACCCATCACGATTAGTTGGTCGCGAGGATTTGGTTGCATGGATGGTTGATTCACGTTTCTGGGTGTTGTTGGTCCGTTTGAGGCTGAACTCAAATTTTGTTTGCACGCGGTTTCGTAGTTTCGGAGTGCATGTTTGTCTCGTTCTTCCGTTTGGTATTTCTCTCTTTCTTCCGTTTTGTCTTTCTCCTTTTCTTTTGTCTCCGCCGGTCTTGTTTGTCGTGTTCTGTCGATTCTGCGATTCCCGCGCCGTTCCTTATCCGAGACACGTCCTTTTTCGGGACCCAGATTTGAGTTTATCGATTGGGCGAACCACCTATAGAGTTATTCTTAACTTGAAACCTGTGATCGCCGGGACTTTCGATCGTTCCGCGTGTATGTTTCTTTCAACAACATTCCAATCCGGAACTCGATTATCCGCCTGGCTTTGGTTTTGCTTATCTTTTTACATTGAGATTTATAATGTCCGATAAAACCACAACCGGTACAAAAACATGAATTAAATTCATATGATATAACTTGTCGATTATTGTTAAGTAATATATACGGTGGGAGGGGTTTATCAGTGTCCACTTCTATACAAATGCTAGCATATCTCTCTTTAATAAGCGAGCTTGTATGGATATCCAATTTTATGGGCCGTCCAATGAGTCGAGCGAGTTTGAAAAGAGCGTCTGAGTTACAATAATTTTATGGGCCGTCCAATGAGTCGAGCCAGTTTGAAAAGAGCGTCTGAGTTACAATAATTTTATGGGCCGTCCAATGAGTCGAGCGAGTGGTAAGGCGGTGGTTCCGGTGATGGCGAAGGGGAAGAGGAATTCTGGATGATGGGGCAGAGCATATTTTCACTTCTCACTATATCTTTTATCACACTTAGTTTGCTATTTCCTGGTTAAATGATATTACTTTTTTTTTTTCTTCTCGAAAATCCAGTCTCTTCTCTTTCTTTTTTTTTTTTGGTTCATTCCTTTTATGTTAATTACTATATATTACATGCTCGCTTTAATGAAAATTTATATTAAAAGAATTCTTATAAATTTAATAAATAAAATATCTTATAATTTATAATTTTTTATCTATATAGTGTGAAATAATCTATATTAAGGAATAAATTCTATTAAATTCAATAAATAATCTTATTTATGTATATAAGGTGTAAAATAATTATGAGTAACATAAAAAAATTGAACTATGAAACAAATAGTTAAAAACAATATATTCGATTACATCATAATACTCCCTCCGTCCCAATTTAAATGTCGTTTTGGGTTGTTTTGCACATATTAAGAAAATCAATAAATGCGCATAGATTATAGTAAAAAATATATAAAATTACAAAAATATCCTCGACATTAATTGATTATCAACTAATTAATTAGGAGTGATTGAGGGTAAAATTGAAAATAATGCAATTAATGCTTCATTGAAAATGTAAAATGACAAATAATTTGGGAAAAACTCTCTAAAAAGACATATAATATGGGATAGAGGGAGTATTGATTTGTGTACTTTAAATAATTGCCCCTTGCATATTTATAGGATTTATAGGATACAATATTATACGATAAATAAAAAATATCAAGATATACTAAATTTTATTTTATTTTTCGAAAAAGGTTATACTAAGTTAAGATTTATTATAAATGAAAAAGAATTTTTTTTTGAAGAAAGATGAAAAAAAGAAAAGGATAAAGAAAAAGAGAATATAATAAACATAACAATAATTTGTTAGTGGCAAACATTACGTGCCCACCTATTAAGCATTAATTATAGTAGTTAATTAATCCAAATAACTATAAGGAACAAATACATGTAATACATATACAAAATACAGTTAAACCTCTATAAATTAATACAGTTGGAACCATCAAAATTTCATTAATTTAGCAAAATATTAACTTATCGATTAATTAATAATTATTAATTTATACATTAATTAATAACTTATTAATTTATGAAATTATTTTTATTATTTTTTTCAATAAATGTATTTTTTTTTATTTTTTTACATGTATATTATTCATTCCATTATTAGTTCAATGCACTATAGAGTCCGTTTCACAAACGGAAACTCTTAAAACAACAATGGTATATAACGATTTTATGTAGAGTTATGAGAAAACTATACCGAAAGTTCTAACCATGTTAAGAAAAGTGAGGGACGAGATTGATGATAATGTGAACTTTAATAAGAAACAAGCGACAATTAAATTGTATTGTATTAAGCCTTCATAGATCTATAAAATATTTGATGTACCGTGTAATTTAACAATTATTTATATGCATTATTAATTTATAAATTATATGGGGCTTCTTAAAATTTTCGAATGTGTATTGTCTTATAAATTTAGCGAATTATTAATTTAGCACGTTCTCCCCGAGTCGAGATCGAAAAAATATATCATTTAAGCGAGGTTATTAATTTATCGAGTATTAATTTGTCGAGGTTCTACTATATACTATACTATATACTAACTATGTCTTTCATATATATAATTGACTGTTATATGTGCTATTATAATCATATTGATTTGTTTCTATGTAAGCTTGCACAAAATATTATATGTGTT